TTAGTAGCTTGTTTTGAGAAATTAGTATTAAGTCGAGAAGCAGTTCTTTAATATTTAGAATCCTTTCTTAGAGATCGTTCACACGTACATATACATACATATGTATATTATTATTAATTTGTGCTTTATATATTTATCGTTCTTAATATGATTAACGCTTTTTAGCAATGAATCCGATGGATGTGGGCCTTTAAAATTCCTATCGATGCCTGTCGCTTCGATAAGAGTTCCTTTTCTTGTAGATAATAGCAAAATGTAATGCCTCGTAATGTATTTTCATACCCACAATATGAGAAAACAATTACGCATTTCAATAGTCCATATTTCAAAGGCGCTTTGTTTGTGTTGATTCCGGGACAACAATCATGAACATGCACAAAATTATCAACAAGTCTTTTTTTCTCACCATCTGCTCAAAAAACAAGCTTCTGGTTCTTTGAATGTTGATTGCTGTGCTAGCATTCATTAAGAATGAAATTCATAAATTCGTGTTATTTCGACGCAAATTCGAATAGGTCTGGGACGGCTACAGGCGTTGCTACAAATAATCAAAGTGTTACTGGCAATCAAATTGTACACAGCATCTGAATGTTGAGGAGAGAGACCCATTTCCATTTAACTGAACCAGTCCAGATTTGACAGATTTGTATGTACTGGTGTGTATGTATGTATTAGGCGATTGGACCTTGTAACACTTTTCTGATTTTGTTCATGAATAAAACAAAATAAATGTATGTATGTAGATACCTTTTCGAACATACCGCACGGCATGTACCGCAAGTCTGTTATTGCTTGGTAATATCAACGTTTATTCATATATACAGGTGGTGCGTACTTGTTTTTTGTTTGTTTGTTTTTTTTACTACAAACACAAATCACTACAAGTTCAAGCTCAAAAACCCGCTACATAAAAACATACTTACATACATATGTATGTACGTAAGTATGTACATCAAGTATGAAGTTCAAGGGGCTTACAATTTCAACAATCAAATCAGTTATAGACACAATGAAAATATTTTATACAAACCGTATAACTTACACGCTTTTAAAAGCTCGTAAACAAGCATAACCACTTATTAATATAAAACATAGTAATTATGCCAGCCCACAATATTAAAATCACAAAACATAATGAAGACATTTAGCTTTATGGTATCAGAAAATTAACCATAAACTTGTTATAATTATAAAGCGTCGTTAGCTCGATCAGTAAGACATTTCACAATTTATTTTGAACATAAATTGAGATGGTTTGTAAAAACAAACGATTAAAAACCCAAATAAATATTAAATTACATTTCATATTTACATATTATACGTGTATACGGGCTACACCTATATGTACACCCAAATGGAAAGATTATTTGTCTACTCTTTGGTGTTATGGGCTTACACTTCCTAGGTCTTTGTAAAACTAACGCATTAAAAATCGTATAGTATGTGTACAGGCATATGTAAGCTTGAATCACAATGTTTTTACATACCTTTTCAATTTCATTCTTAATTATATATACACATATAAATAAGTTTTCGATGAATACGTACTTTTTTAGATTTTTTTTTTTTGTATTCCTACAGCTCAAAACTGACTGCCAAAGCATTATACAACAACAAAAAACAACATACATCATGTAAGTAGCTCTATAGATTACAAGAGATCAATGTACTGATTGGGATCGGGATCTGTAAGCTGCACGTGCTAGTGGTAGTCATATAATCAATCAAAAAGCATATTTTTACACATTTTTGCTTGCAGTTTTTATGCAATAGGACGTTTGATTATTTTTCAATAATAGCAAGACCAATTAAATACATTATTACTAAAATACCTAACATGATTACTTTCGTATCTGTACATGTATGTACATACAAGTTCATCTGTACTTGTGTATATACTTAATTTATTTCCGCTACAAATATTAATATCTGAGATTTTGGAGATTTTTATGTTTTTTACAATCAAATGAACCAAATATGTACATACGTATGTAATTCTTGTTCGAATATCTTACTGCAGTCAAAATTACAATAAGCGCTCAAAAATCGATCTTAATAAGAAGCACTTGTGTTTAGTAATACTCACATTTTGGTACCATTAGCATTTTGTGTATATGTGTATATGAATAAATTCGTTATTAATTATAATTACTGTATTATTTTCCCACGCCTTTACTGCTAGTTTTTTATTCAGTATTTAAAGTTTTTTCATGCACTTTAGCACTCTCCCTCGCAATTTTGTTAACTTATGTATCCATAAAGTGAAAATCAATCAAAACGTTCATGCTCCGATTAAATTTGATGAGCGGACGAACAGATGGTGGTTCTGTGGCTTGCAAAAATCAAATAAAATTATTTCCTGAACATTTGCAATAAGAATCAATAAGAACAACTGAAATCTGTATGCAAGCATATACAGTATATGTATGTATATATATGTATAGCCCATGTGCTTTTTTAAGATGCGCCGCGATCTTTTTGAGCGAGAATGGGCCTTATCAAAATAGGAAAAGCTGAGAGCCGATGATAGACAGCCACACAGACAGACAGAATGTCAGGCTGATAAGCCAGCACTGTAATTCGCAGAGTGGACAATAAACATCCAGAGTGTGTTTAGAAATGTTTGCTAAAAATCGCTTAACTAAGACCATAACTATTGTTTCAACCCACAGGCCCCCACCCACAGTCCATTGGTACTCCATCAGTTTCATTTATTTTGGAGCACTTCAACTGGGTCAATTGCGTAGTGGCATTAATCAGCTTACTGCACTTTTAAAGGCTATTTGCTTCTTGTTTTTGTCATGCTGTGGCTTATTTTTCTGATAGCGGCTCGTCTTACTCGAAATCGGACCGAACAGACAATTAACGACAAATTAGCTTGAGCCGTGAACTCGTTTCGATTGATTCCCTATGCATCGTCGTCACAGTTTTATGTCTATTCATTATTTATATACCACAATCTATAAATTATTGCACGCACTGACGATTGTTTCTTTTTTTCTAAGCTTTTCAAGCTTCGATTTTGTACGCCAAACACAACCGACTAACTTGGGGTGCGCGGGTGCACAAAATGTAGCCTAAGAATTGTTTATATCAAAATAAAATATCAGGCAATAAAGTCGTTGAACGACGGCGGCAGCAGCAGCTTAGAGAAACAAAAGAAAATAAATGGTAGGCACCAGCACCAGAGGGTGTTGCGATAGCTCGGACCGAAAGAGAGGTCCAGAGCACTAGTCGGTAACTGTAAAAATTTGTATGCCGCGTATTTCTGCGGGAGCGACAAGAATTTGTACATATCCATGTACATAGTACATATGTCTACATATATATGTGTGTGTGGTGTAAGGGCACATTGCAGAAACTAGGAAATAATAAAGATTTTCTAGGCCATATTCACCATTTAAGCCCCCTACACAAAGGTATCAAATATAAATTTTATATGTAGTTTTTTTTAGAAAAGACTATTATTAAAATTTTGTTGTATTCATAAGTATATAGAAAAACATATACAATTATGTGCATTGAAAAGCTAATAACAACGAATGACGACATTTAACATTGACATTAAAAACAAAGTCATTTATCATTTCAAAATTATGTACTATATAGAATATTTTCTGATAGAAGAACTCCGTAAAAATTCTAATAATTTGTTTGTTATAATAACTTTTATAATATCATTTCAATTTAATTTGAAAACACCACAACGCTTTAGTTAAAAAATTATTGTTACAAACAAGCTATCTAGCTTAATTACAAAAATACAATAAGTTGTTTTCACTTTCCGAAAATATTTCGGTAATCGTCTTCAGGGTAGTTCCATTTTTGCACTTCTAAGCTTTCAGTCGGAGACCTTACTCTTCTCTATGGACGATTGCTTTTATTTTCTCTTGAATTGCAATACTGCCAACAAAAAGTGATCAGCCGGATAAATGAATTATTATTAGTCCTCAAGATACTAAATCCATTCTTTACCATACAATCAAAAAAAAAAAAAAATAGCCAGCGGAAACCAGCAGGCTACTGATTTGATAAAAAACACTGTAATGCGAGTATGTACATAAATACAACATGCATGTATGTGCGTACTTGTATTTATTAAATGTCTAATTATAGTGTTGGGGCGAGAAATTGAACACAACAAATTTTAATTTCTTTCCATATCAACAACAGGCAGCTGTCAGTCTTAATGTCTGTAAAACAGGAACGCCTCCAATGGGCGAGGTTTAATTAGATTTAGTTTTAGTTAATTGTTAGTTGGGGTTCATTAGCGCGTATTAATATTGCATTTGGATAAAGTTGAAATGAATATTGTTTTCTTATATAAACTTAAATGAATATATGTATACCAATATAGCCGGAGTCGGCTAACCGCCAATTAAGGCAAATAAAGCTCGGCGTAAACTATAATTACAAATTATTAAGACGTTGGCCAACTGACGCAAATACAGGCAGAAAAAAGTGAAGTGAATAAGTAAAGTCTAAAGTGAAGGGCTTCACTTCTATAGCTGCTGACAAGTCCAGCAGTAAAGAAGCGCATGTTCAGACATTTCCGGAACTTGTAGGCAGTGGACCATTATGTTTTTGGCCCTATTAACGTCATTGATTAAAAGTAAAAGGCACTTCTGCACTCGCCCTAAACCCCGTCAGTCACACACCAGTTTTGTTCACCTTTTATCATACATATATTAACATATATTCACATGGCTCTTAATTAAGGATATCGGCTTGCAATCATTGCTATATTTTAGTAGGAAGGTCAAAGCCGATTTGCGATTACGTTGTAAAGATGCCACTTCGTACGCCCATCTTTAACACGCCCTCTGGCAGCTCTAATGCACCGCCTTCGCTTCCAGGCTACAACAGTAAAACTCGACTCTACACGACACCAAGGCGACTTGGCGCCAAGGTTAAGATCGAGCTTCGGCTGCCAGTCGTCTTTGAGTCAAGCACAGTGCTGTTACAGCCCAATTCGAATAGTATATATGTATGTTTCTTTAGTGTTTTATTAAATAAATAAATACATATGTATATGAATATATACATATGTACTTTTGTGCAGAGAACACACGAGCGTAGAAGGACGAGCTTTGAGTTTTCCCTTTTTTAATAACAAATTACGAGTTTTCCAATCAACTGCGGGAAATTAATGCAGCTCCTTTTTACTCGTATGTATGTATATATTTGTTAACTTTCCTAAGGGCAGCGTGCCTAATTTGGATATAGTATGTAAATATGGCATTCCTTTAACATTTATACAAAGACGTACATATATACGTACTTTATTTTTTTTGAAGCCGTCCGCTCCACATTTCAAACAAACACGTGAGTAGATATGTATAGCATACATACATACACATATGTAGTTGTATGTTATGCCACAAGAAAATCTAGCAAATGTAATTAAGAGCCATATAAAAAATCGGAATATATTGAAAATATTTTTTATATATATTTATACTTTTATAAATGAGCCCAATTATTTATTCATCACATTTCAATAGTTTTCGGTTCCAATATTCCTTACTAACGGCAAATACCAGTTACGAAAAAGTGTCGAAAAAACAAAAAATAAACGCATGGGAAAGAGTTAACCATCCTTTGGCTTATGCCTACATATATATATGGTATGTGCATATGTGTGAACATATGTATGTATTTTCTTGCGCGGGAAGCTTATGTATGTTTTTCTCAGTCTTTTTAAGACATTTTCAGAGCTTATGGTTCCATCGTTCCTTTTCTAATGGCAGTTTACAGTTACGCCAAGCCGACAGAAAATAAACGGATGCGAAAGTCACTGAAATTTTTGAAAATGCATTTAATGCCCGAAAACAACATGTTATGGTTTAAGCTCCAAATCCATATACCCATATGCATACACATGTACAGCACAATTGTATGCATTTACATTTTTACGAGTACATGTGTGGGAGTGTTTGTGTATGGACAAGAAATTATATGCAGTAGTAGTTGCTAGGCGCCGCGAACTTTATTTATTTGTTGTGCGTTTAATTGATGCCCGCATGCAAATCTTTTAGTGCTAACAGTTTTACGAGTAAATGCAGCTGCCGATTCTGGCCCAGACAATTAATTAGATCCGTACACTGTTCTGCATCTGCTTTGATTGGATCTGTAATCACTTTCTTATAATTAGTGTTTGCACTAGTAGTTGCATTTGCAAATTATTCCGTATATGTACATACATATACATATGTTAAAATATTCCATTGTTGGGTTTTTTCATTGTTATTGTTTACCGTTGTGCATTCCAGAGAAACCGCAAAGCTTACGCCTCTGAGTACAGTAGCTACATCATAAGCCGGCGAAATGACCGACCGTATGTTCAGGCAAGTAACCACAGTGCCCCACTCCCATGTGTCCACATATTTAAATTTCGTAATTTTAAATACTGATGTATTTTAATTCTACATAAAAACAACATTCTTGAAGTTCTGCCTTCCCTTATTAGATTTAAAATGAATTAATAAAAAAAAATTAACATGTTAAAAAGACTTTCCACATGTTTAATCTATTTTAAACACGTTTGTCCAAACAGTTGGCACTGCGATGGCTCTGAGAATGTCTTTTATACTGCAAAAGTACAGCAGCCGCTGCCGACCTACGCGCCGACGCAATGCGTCGACTACAACAACAATAGCAACAATGCTGTCGGGCTGCGCTACTTCAACATGCCCTCCTATACGTCCCCACCGGTCATGTTACAGCCCAAATATCCCCAGAACGGTTCCACGCCCACTCAGTTGGATGTATGTCAGTACGCTCATGCTAACGGCAGCGCCTCCTGCTACAACCGCAACCGCTATATGCCATACAATCACAACCGCGCCTGCGCTGCCGCTGCTGCTGTAGCCGCCGTTACTGGTCATCCGATTGTAAATCACCAACAACAACACCCGGCGACCATGGCCTACAATTACCCACAGTCCTTTGCGCCCATCTACCAGCCTACGCAACTGCCGCCCACATTGCCAATACCGCCCATCGCCAGTGCGAGCATCAGCTTCTCTGGTCCGCCCAATGTGAGCATGTCTGCGGCCACCTCGCCCCCCGTGGTGGACTACACCTATGCCAATGGCTTGATCAACACCATGGCACCCAGTGCTTTGAACATGCCCTGCTCCACAACTTCGTCCATTGCGAGTAGCAGCATGACAGAAACCAATGTCAGCTTCAGTGGATGCAACGGTATCAGTGGACCCGCAGTTAGTCCACATAGCTATGCTAGCGTTACCGATCCCAATGACGCGGTCACCTTGCAAATAACCAACCTGGATTACTCTCTTGATGAGACCAGCTTGCGCAACTTTTTGATGAATCAACTGAAACCAATTACTCCAGTTGTATCGCTTAATTTTGAGGGCAGTTCGTATGCCAAGGTCACCGTCCCAGATCTTTATGTAAGGCTCAAAGAGACTGCCATACTTACGTTTAACTTTTACTAGTTTTGAATTTTGGATTTTTCCAGTTTGCCAAGCAAGTGGTCTCCAATTTGCACCGCAAGAAAATTGGACACAAACGCATGTTGGTCAGCTATACCCGGGACTCTTCGCTTACTGAAGTCAATACGTTGCGCTGCCAGGTTGCTGGACTTCTAAAAGTAAGTTTAAGCGCAGAAATGCAGAACTGTAATAATTTAAAAATCGCATACTATGTTTGAAACTTTGTTCGTATGATAATGATGGTAAATAACTAATTCTTGATAATACAGAGATGGATATGAAATCATTGAAAAAATATCAGTGATTCCAGGCTTTAAAGTCGCAGTTCTACGTGTGTCTTGTCCTTAAAAAGTATGAGCTCTGACAGACTGAATTTGACTTGGACTTCATTTTTACAGGATGTTCCGTACTATACACTGCCTATGTATAAGTTCCGTGAGCTCTTCCAGTCGCGTTTCAAAACCTCTATATGTGTATTGGATTTGTACAAAATGCAGGACATTTGTACCATCAATTCAGATAATAACGAGGAAAAGATTATTAGTTTGCAACCGGAGCTTGTGCGCTCTCTAGAGAACTCCCCACTCATGGAGGGACTTCAGCATAGTGTACCATATTGTACGGTTCACTTTAAGCGCGAGCAGCACAAAGGATGGGCCGAGCAGGAGATCGAGCCTCTCCCCAATGTGTGTATGACCATAGCGGAAATACAGCAGCTTATATACCCGTTGCTTAAACAGCATCCTGGCGATATTCCGGTAGCCACGCTGGTGCACTGCATCGAGGCGCAACTGAAGGTCCAGATCACTGCCAACGAAAGCGGTGTCAATCTGGAGCATCTCGTGTGCTGTGTCCAGGGTGTACAAATACAAGTCAATAATTTCGGAATTAAGATTCTTGGCTGGTTGGAGCTGAACAAGGAAATGCCGAATGTAAGCGGAGGCAGTACCTCAGGCAGCAATTCAAACCTGAATAATAGCGAGCGTGGCACTGGCGGATACTTTAAAAACTCTGTGGCGGACCCCTTGTCGCAGATATCCCGTGAGGTTATCGAGCTTGTTAAGATGTCGCCTAAGTCAACCATGAAGTTTAATCGCTTCATTCCGGCTTACCACAATCATTTTGGAAAACAATGCCGCGTTGCCGACTACGGCTACACCAAACTGATCGAGCTCTTCGAAGCCCTTTCTTCGGTGGTTCAGATCATGGGCGAAGGGGAGAATCGTCAGATCACCCTTCAACACCGTACACAAGTGCGACGCTTCACTTCGGATCTGTTGCGTGTCCTGCGCGCTAATGGCAACAATTCGGTGCTTCTTTCTCAGCTACCGGGAATATTCTCGCAGACGCAGAATCGAAGTTTCGATGTGACCGACTACGGAGTCTGCGATATTGTAGATATCCTGGACGGCTTAGTCAACTCGAACATTGTAGTGGTGACCAGAGTGCAGCAGGGAAAAGATATATTAATATCGATCCCAAAACGGAAGCAGACGAACAGCGAGTTAGAGAAAATAAGTATATTTGCCGGCGAAATGGTGGAGCTGTTCCAGAACGCTCTGCAATATAGCATTCTGTTTCAGAAATTTGTACGCTCCTACCATTATCACTTCGCGTACCAGTGTCGGTTGAGCGACTACGGCTTCCTCAAACTGGCAGATCTTATGGATGCCATACACGGCGTAGTCGAAATGGAAGTGACCAGTGATGAGGACAAAAAGATCTTTCTCTCGCCAAAAGTGGCCAGACGCGTGTTTGCCGTGCAGTGCGAGGATTTAATACGGAGCGTTACAGGAAACTCGACCAGTTGTATGAAACTAGAACAAGTGCTGACCCTGCATAAGAAGAAATATGGCTACCAGATGCTGCCCCAAACCTTAGGAGTGGCCGATATAACCTCCGCCATTGAGCTGCTGCCCTATGTTGAGGTAGTGCAAAAAGAGCAGGCCACCTGGATGATATGTCACAACGATGACCTGGAATTCCGACAGCTCTGCTACCGTGCTTGCAAGCATCTGTTGCAGCGAGAGGCAACTCTCACGAAGAAGGCAACATCAGAGAGCTCCCAGCAATCGCAACCTCTGAGCACAGACCAGTTTATGCATGAATTTAATGTTAAGTATAAAATGCAGCTCACTAGTTCCTCACTTTTAGCTATGCGCCATTTAATTGAGGTAAGGTTATCAAACAATAAACCAGGATCTTTATTATTATTATTATTTCATAGATTTATACCGAGACAGATCAGGAGTGTGTCCGTCCAAGCCCTTACATACGCTTTCTCATGTCAATTGTGCGGCTGCTAGAGCAGCGACCCAGCATGTATTTGCATGAGATAAAGAGCGCTTTGGAATGCGGCATAGCTACTACTTTTGAATTTGGCTTTCCCAATCTATATTCCGTGATAGCGGCACATGAGGATCTTTTCACAATTAACAATGGGCCCACACAGGAACGCAGTGATGTATCTCTAAATGTGAACTGCGATTGTAAGTAGAAGATAGTATTAATTCACACTAACTTTCAAGGATAAACTGAAGATACGAAAATAATTTGTCAGAGTTTTTGATAAAAGTAAACTTATTTCAAAATTATGTTCTTCAGTGCGTCTTAGCTCGGGGGCCAGTCACCAGCATCTCTTCGGATCGCTAAAGCTACCATATGCCAAGCACAAAACTCGCACTGCTAGGACACCTTTAGGCGAGCACAATCGACCCCCACCTACTCAGGCACCACCCCCAAACAAAATGCGCGCTATAGCCAACGAATATATCAACAGTTTCAATGTCAACACACCTGCTGGTGTCGGCTTCAAACCACAGGTTAATTCATCCAAGAACTTCCAGCACTACCAGGAGAACTTTGGGGCCGCCTCCACTACTGGCGGTTCTATGATGCCTCAAAAGTGCTCGCCTCCATTCCCAACCAGTAACAATGTCTGCCATAAAATGCAGCCGAGTGCCAACTCTTCAACAATCTCGTCGAATATGCTGAACAGCACAAGTTCGCCCAATCTTAGCCTGTGCAGTAGCTGCAACAAGGAGAATTCCCTTAACAGTTCATTAAATTTGTTTAACTCGTCACTCAACTCATCCTGTGAACTAAACGGCAGCTTGTGCAGTGACTTCGCTATTGCCTCGAGCACAGCTATCACGGCCCCCCCGTATGGTCCCCCCACTAAGCTGTGGCATCGCCGTCAGACCAACAACTACCAGCAACAGCCGAATCCACATCAATTGATGACGGGCTGCTTCGATGAGGGACTGCTGATGGGACAGTCAAATATTGAAAGTGGCAATACCACCACAGATTTGTATGATATGGTCAGCTTGAATGTGGCGCCCTTTAGTTCCATCTATGAGCCACCTAAGCCAGATACTCCACCACGACAGGTATTATCATATGTAATATTTATTAAACAGCTATGGTTTTAAGCTAGCAAATAATATATTTTTTTAACTTATCAATATTTTTCTCAGAAATTACCATTCTGGCTCGACCCCGTATGGAGCAATCAGACCGACGTGCCAGCACAAGCTAAAAATAGTTTGCTCAACATACGTCTGCCTGAAATCAAGTCCTTAAATGTTTTGCCTATGCTTCTGTCACCCTACACATTATCAAAGAATGAGAATATGAAACGTCAGCTGTTTAATTTTGAAAATCACGATCGCAAGATTGCCTAAGATTCTTTTTTTAATGTTTTAAAGATGCGCTATGGTGTTCGAAGCCAGAATTATCTTCTGCAGTACGCCTTATTTTATAAACTATTACACGATCAAGCATTTCGTATTGTTCATAGGTTATAGCATAAGGATCAATTTGTAACTTTGTTAAGATTATTATCAATTTGTATGCTGTTTGTAGAACAAAATAGCAATTATTTCGTTTTTTGCCTTTGTTTATAACAAAGTTGTTAGTTAAGCCTGATGTACACTTAAAAAAAAAGGAAACGCTTAACAAAATAAGAATGCATTTAAAATAACTGTCAGAAATTGCTGCTTACCTGAAAACAGTTAGTAGATACGTACATATATTCATTTTATTTATTTTTTGGCGGTTTTTTTCTACATTAAGTGAATAACTGGCGACTAAAAAAGATTGTAACTACAATTAAATAAATTTAAATAACTTTATTCATTGTAAATTAAATCAGCCTTACAATGTAATTACCACAAAAGCTAAAGGTGGTAAGATAAAGACTAAAAATCGGGTGCCACCATGCGAAAGAAAGCGTTGGCCAACTCGATTCCAAAGAAGGTGGCCGCATTAGCTGGAAAAGCGCGCAACATTACCGGTGTAATACCGCGGTAAAGGGCTAATGGTCCATCGTGTTTCATCAGATCTGCAAACACACTGCGTATTCCCTTTTTATAGGTACCCTCAGGTGCTGCAATAAAGAATTTAAAAATACTCATTATGTTAATTTAAAGATACCTTGCTGAAGAAAATATAATGCTCTACATATGTCAATAAACAGTATATAGGAAAATAGTTAGTGCTATCTTAAAGGTTATTACATTTAAGTGTATTCTCAAAAAATCACGGAATTCTAGAAAGAATAAATAATACGCACCAGACTGCAGGCGACTCTTGAGAACATCTGCGGGCATACCACCAATCCAGTAGAAAATTCCCGCACAACCACCGGCAGCAATAGCGGGAAGCAGATCCACATTGGGTCGATTAAAACGTCGTTTGTACTCGTTGGTCAGTATCTCGTAACAGAGAAAATAGAGGCCGTTCGCTGGCAGATCTGTAAACAGGCAGACTCACGTAAATAGTGGCATGTAACGAGCCCTGGGATTAGAGCCGACCTAATCTTTATATTTATAAGAACGCAAAATTGCGCGCTGTTTGCACTGCTTGTATTACAATGTTAATCCAGTGCGACAATTATATCCAAGATTGAAGGCATTACGCAATCGATTAGATCAACCATGTAATACATTTCCAATTAAATAACAACGCAAAGAAAACACGCGCCACAGTTATATATACATTGTGCATTAGAATTAATAAGTTCGTTTCATTTTATGTAGTTTACTATATTTTCTTATTTATACTTTCTGATTTTTCTCTGTAAAATATAAAAAAAAACTATTAATGAACAGGTGTGGAATGAAGTCGTGTAACCATATATAAAATTCTTCATTTTCAAACCGTGTTAAATCAAAACCGTTTAAAAACAGAATTATGGTTATATCAATGTATATATATACATACATATACTTATGTATGTATGCAGCATGTAGAGCTGCATTTTTCAACCCATCTTTTTCATTGGGACTTTATTATGTTTTCATTGGGGCATTGATTGTTGTTGAAAATTAGAATACGAAAACTATTGCATGTATGTATGTAGGAATGTATATACATTTGTACATATTTATGTTAGTATGTGTAATCAATGCAAAGCCCAAATGGTAAGCGTTAAGAAGCTGAAATTTTGACACAAGTTTCCTGTTAAAGTGCAGGTGACTTTAATTTACGCTTAGGTACTTGGTTTGAGAATCGCAGAGGAGGGCAGCCACCATATTTTAATTTGGTATGAGAATTTCAGAGGAGGGCAGCCACAATATTTTAATTTAATTTATCAGAAATTTCACAATTTAATTCCAAAATATTATTATTTCATTTATCAGAAATTCCACAATTTAATTCTCGATTTGCCAGCGCTTAGGTACTTGGTTTGAGAATCGCAGAGGAGGGCAGCCACAATATTTTAATTTAATTTATCAGAAATTTCACAAATTAAATCCACAATTTATTATTTAATTTTTTAAAAATTTCACTATTTAATTCTCGATTTGCCAGCGCTTAGGTACTTGGTATGAGAATCGCAGAGGAGGGCAGCCACAATATTTTAATTTAATTTGTCTGAATTTTCACAATTTATTATTTAATTTTTTTAAATTTCACTATTTAATTCTCGATTTGCCAGTGCTTAGGTTCTTCGTTTGAGAATCGCAGAGGAGGGCAGCCACAATATTTTAATTTAATTTATCAGAAATTTCACAAATTAAATCCACAATTTATTATTTAATTTTTTAAAATGTTCACTTTTTAATTCTCGATTTGCCAGCGCTTAGGTACTTGGTTTGAGAATCGCAGAGGAGGGCAGCCACAATATTTTAATTTATCAGAAATTTCACAAATTAAATCCACAATTTATTATTTAATTTTTTTAAAATTTCACTATTTAATTCTCGATTTACCAGCGCTTAGGTACTTGGTATGAGAATCGCAGAGGAGGGCGGCCACAATATTTTCATTTAATTTATCAGAATTTTTACAATTTAATATTTAATTTCATTTTAATTTTTTTTTTTAATTTAATTTTTCAGAAATTTCACTATTTAATTCTCGATTTACCAGCGCTTAGGTACTTGGTATGAGAATCGCAGAGGAGGGCAGCCACAATATTTTAATTTAATTTGTCTGAATTTTCACAATTTATTATTTAATTTTTTTAAATTTCACTATTTAATTCTCGATTTGCCAGTGCTTAGGTTCTTCGTTTGAGAATCGCAGAGGAGGGCAGCCACAATATTTTAATTTAATTTATCAGAAATTTCACAAATTAAATCCACAATTTATTATTTAATTTTTTAAAATGTTCACTTTTTAATTCTCGATTTGCCAGCGCTTAGGTACTTGGTTTGAGAATCGCAGAGGAGGGCAGCCACAATATTTTAATTTATCAGAAATTTCACAAATTAAATCCACAATTTATTATTTAATTTTTTTAAAATTTCACTATTTAATTCTCGATTTACCAGCGCTTAGGTACTTGGTATGAGAATCGCAGAGGAGGGCGGCCACAATATTTTCATTTAATTTATCAGAATTTTTACAATTTAATATTTAATTTCATTTTAATTTTTTTTTTTAATTTAATTTTTCAGAAATTTCACTATTTAATTCTCGATTTACCAGCGCTTAGGTACTTGGTATGAGAATCGCAGAGGAGGGCAGCCACAATATTTTAATTTAATTTGTCTGAATTTTCACAATTTATTATTTAATTTTTTTTAAATTTCACTATTTAATTCTCGATTTGCCAGCGCTTAGGTTCTTCGTTTGAGAATCGCAGAGGAGGGCAGCCACAATATTTTAATTTAATTTTTTAGAAATTTCACAAAATTAATCCACAATTTATTATTTAATTTTTTAAAAATTTCACTATTTAATTCTCGATTTGCCAGCGCTTAGGTACTTGGTATGAGAATCGCAGAGGAAGGCAGCCACAATATTTTAATTTAATTTGTCTGAATTTTCACAATTTATTATTTAAATTTTTTAAATTTCACTATTTAATTCTCGATTTGCCAGCGCTTAGGTACTTGGTTTGAGAATCGCAGAGGAGGGCAGCCACAATATTTTAATTTAATTTATCAGAAATTTCACAAATTAAATCCACAATTTATTATTTAATATTTTACAAATTTCACTGTTTAATTCTCGATTTGCCAGCACTTAGGTACTTGGTATGAGAATCGCAGAGGAGGGCAGCCACAATATTTTAATTTAATTTGTCTGAATTTTCACAATTTATTATTTAATTTCACTATTTAATTCTCGATTTGCCAGCGCTTAGGTTCTTCGTTTGAGAATCGCAGAGGAGGGCAGCCACAATATTTTAATTTAATTTATCAGAAATTTCACAAATTAAATCCACAATTTATTATTTAATTTTTCAGAAATTTCACTATTTAATTCTCGATTTGCCAGCGCTTAGGTTCTTCGTTTGAGAATCGCAGAGGAGGGCAGCCACATTATTTTAATTTAATTTATCAGAAATTTCACAAATTAAATCCACAATTTATTATTAAATTTTTTAAAAATTTCACTATTTAATTTGCCAGCGCTTAGGTTCTTCGTTTGAGAATCGCAGAGGAGGGCAGCCACAATATTTTAATTTAATTTATCAGAAATTTCACAAATTAAATCCACAATTTATTATTTAATTTTTCAGAAATTTCACTATTTAATTCTCGATTTGCCAGCGCTTAGGTACTTGGTTTGAGAATCGCAGAGGAGGGCAGCCACAATATTTTAATTTAATTTATCAGAAATTTCACAAATTAAATCCACAATTTATTATTAAATTTTTTAAAAATTTCACTATTTAATTCTCGATTTGCCAGCGCTTAGGTACTTGGTTTGAGAATCGCAGAGGAGGGCAGCCACAATATGTTAATTTATCAGAAATTTCACAATTTATTATTTCATTTTTTTTAATTTCACTATTTAATTCTCGATTTGCCAGCGCTTAGGTTCTTCGTTTGAGAATCGCAGAGGAGGGCAGCCACATTATTTTAATTTAATTTATCAGAAATTTCACAAATTAAATCCACAATTTTTTATTAAATTTTTTAAAAATTTCACTATTTAATTCTCGATTTGCCAGCGCTTAGGTACTTGGTTTGAGAATCGCAGAGGAGGGCAGCCACAATATTTTAATTTAATTTATCAGAAATTTCACAAATTAAATCCACAATTTATTATTAAATTTTTTAAAAATTTCACTATTTAATTCTCGATTTGCCAGCGCTTAGGTACTTGGTTTGAGAATCGCAGAGGAGGGCAGCCACAATATTTTAATTTATCAGAAATTTCACAATTTATTATTTCATTTTTTTTAATTTCACTATTTAATCCTCGATTTGCCAGCGCTTAGGTTCTTCGTTTGAGAATCGCAGAGGAGGGCAGCCACATTATTTTAATTTAATTTATCAGAAATTTCACAAATTAAATCCACAATTTATTATTAAATTTTTTTAAAAATTTCACTATTTAATTCTCGATTTGCCAGCGCTTAGGTACTTGATTTGGGAATCGCAGAGGAGGGAAGCCACCATATTTTAATTTAATTTATCAGAAATTTCACAATTTAATGCCAAAATATTATTATTTCATTTTGCAGAAATTCCACAATTTAATTCTCGATTTGCCAGCACTTAGGTACTTGGTATGAGAATCGCAGAGGAGGGCGCCAACAATATTTATACTCTGTACATGAAATGTATAGGAGTATATTGGGTTTTCGCGAGCTGAAAAATTTAATAGCCAGAAGGAGGCGTAGCAGACTCCACAAAGTATATACATATGAATATTCTTGATCACAGACTTAATCTCTTAATCTCAGAGACTATACGACTTAGGGACACCAAATTTTAGTCCAAGATAAACTATATGGATACGTTGAAAATTAATTTTCTTCCATCCCTCCTCCTAATTTAAAATATTACATTTACATACATACAATATACACACATATGTATGTATGTATGTAAATAGTACGTGTATGGTCACAGTATGTATTGTACTATATGTCCTAGCTTTGGATGCAGTTCCATCAAAGACGGGCATCGCCTGCTAGTAAGTACCACATAAAATCCCGACGATCATTCTGACATATGTATGTATGTAATTGATTTTTCTAAATAACGCATATATTCACATGATCTTTACTTTTTCAACGTAAGAAAATACAATAAAAATACACAAAGAATTAATTTAAAAATTCGGCGTTACAATGCTAAAGAAGTTATTGGCTAACTCGATGCCAAAGAAACATGCGGCGTTTGCTGGGAACGCACGTATCATAATGGGTGTGACACCCCTATATAAGGCCAGTGGACCATCCTTTACAATAAGGTCCTTGAACACGCTGCGCACACCATGCTTGTAGGTACCCTCAGGCGCTGCAAGTGAGGTAGAAATAGGAAATCATTTGGGTTAAGCAGCTATTAACAAACTCACCTGATTGCAAACGACTTTTCAGCACATCAGCAGGCATTCCGAGTATCCAATAAGCCATGCCAGCAGCGCCCCCAGCAAAAATAGTGGATGCCGTGTTGATTTTTCCCGATTCTGATTTCGCCTTGGCGACATCTTGCAGGTATTCATAGACCAAAAAATATAGCCCGTTGGCAGGCAAATCTGTGAAGAAGGCAACCAATTAACACAGAGCTTCACTTGATCAATTAACTAATGTACTTATAGTATCCAAAACTATTCTCGACATGATCTACAAAATGGACATAACAAAACCACTCAATACTCACTTTTTAGAGTTACCGGAACTTGCTTATAAAATATTTATAATTGTTTTTTATTTGATTCAATTCGCCGAAAGACCTTTACGTAGCTTTGAGAGTCTGGCTGAAAAATTTTTTTTCAAGGAAGTATCTATGTACTTATAAGAACTATTCACTATTTAACTTCAAATTATATATAAATGTTTCACATTCACATAATAAGTTGTTAAAATCAATAATACCACATGAAAATAAAAATTGAAATAAATTAAAAATAACTAAAAGTGATTATTAGTCAGGCCGGAGTCGCAGTAGATAGGCCGTTAATAGCCTAAATTGATAATTCACTCCAAGTTAGCAGGGATTCAATTTTAATGACATACCTGGACGACTGTGGGGTTGATTTAAAACTTAGGGAAATACTATAGTTTGCGACCTTGTGCCCAATGGTCACAAGCTTTTTTATTCAAACGCAATGTACATCTGTGCATGTACAAATAAGTATGTATATGTACATATGTATATATGTGTGTAAATACATACATAAACTTTATATCACAATTATTTTATCATTGGAGGATGTTGGTATCAGCAGCAACCATTAAAGGAAATGAATAAAACAACAACACAACGCTCTTAAGACGGCGCTAAAAAGATTGTAGCATTTTTCTTATATTATTTATGTATGTAGCAGTCGTAGTATGCCTCAATTTAGTGTATGAATGGAATTCGAGGAATGCGCCAGTTTGAAAGCAACGCAAGAGACGCCATATGCAGTACTAAGTTTTGAAAGTAAAGTGAAAAAAGCGTGAAAATTCAGTTCCCATCAAACTGTAAAATGCGTTGGAACCAGAGCGGTAGTTTTTGGATCTATGGCACACCAAGTCTGCTATCTTTGTTACTGCTGGTAAGTGTATACGCACATACATATGTACAAGTGTCAGAGTGTAATAAATTCGGATAATAAAAGTCAACATAAAAAAAGTGCAAATAACAATTCGTTAATTATAAAACGATTATATTTGAAATGTTAAAATTTACTCCCCTTTTTTTTATTTCTATAAAATTGGAGCAATGTTTTTATGTTAATTCCAAACGCAGTGCGCACATAGCATAAATTTAATTAAATAATGAAATTGAATATTTATGTGAATATACTTGTATGTACATTTATGTTATTTATTTATTCCAAATTTGAGTGTAGATTACTGTATACCTTAAATTCGGGTTGCTACTATTATCGTTCCACAGCATTGCCAAATGATCGCTTCCCAGCCCGGGTTTGGGCCGGAGGTGGAACTGGACACGCTAAACTGCCCGAAAGGGTGTGCTTGTCAATACGCCGCCTTCAGCGAACTTCCCATTGCCCGCTGGGTGACTCACATGACAGGAAACAATGCTGACGAAACCGAAGATGGTTTCTTTGGTCAGACCTATACCAAACTAGGAACTTGCCTTCTGCAAGTGCAGGATGACGCAGAGGCGTTACTTGATGCATTGCCTATGGATCTGCAGGCCCTTATATTGCTCTATACGGGAGGAGCGGGCCATGAGCTAACTGGTGAGCAAACGAGACGATGTTTTCGATGTAAATTGGCTGACCCTTTTTTTTCGCCAGTGAACACGAGCAGCCTGAAGCAACTCAATCAGCTGACCACGCTGGAGATACGGGGATCGGCGGGTGCTGGATCGTTGTATTTGATTATTGACGAGCCACTGGAATTTTTGCAGCACGCCAATTTTGAGCAGCTTATGTTGATTGGTAGCGACAAGCTGCAGCGACCCAAGTACTTGGAGCTTCCCAGCGACCATTACGAGTATAGGCCACGGGGTGAGGTTATGATGCTGGACGAGACGGACGGGGCAATGGCGATGGTGGGTAAACAAGAGCTCAAGTATCAACTGGAGTTTGAAACCGCCAACGACGTGGAACAGGTACAGGTAGAAATTATGCCCTATGAAGAGTGGGTGCAACTTATTAAGCAGACGCGTATGCCCACATTTTATGGGTGGACCCATCTGGAAGTGCTGCGTGCCCACAATTGCCAGCTTAGCGAATTGCACTGGCAAATGTTCGACGGTTTGGCTGCACTCCAGCACCTGTCCCTGGAGCACAACAGTATCGAGAGTTTGCCCCCTTTTGCCCTCTATGGTGCCCTTCACATCAAGACTTTGTCGTTGGCACACAATTTTCTGCAACGGCTGCACTACCGTGCACTAGCTGGCCTTTTAGAACTGGAGACACTTGATTTGCGTGCTAATCGACTGGAGCGACTTAGCGAGCTGAGCTTTCCACCGCTGCCCTTGCTTCAGCGGGCCGACTTTCGTCATAACCCCGTTCGCTACATATTTCCAGCTACCTTTTGGGTTATGAACGACACTCGGGAGCTACACTTTGACAGTACAGAGGTAGCGATGGAGCTGTGGACCAATAATCCTTTTGATTCACTACGTAAGCTACGCACTCTCACCCTAGGCAATGTTTCCATTAACAGCCTGGAGCAGGGGGTCTTTAAGGTATGTATATTTATTTGGTTTTGCCATCGAAAATGCTTTTTGACCTTTGGACTCAATCCCGTTTTGCTTACAGGGTCTTATTTCCTTAGAAACGCTTACGATGCGTGGCGAAGTCCGCAATGTGGAGTTCGACGCTTTTGCCGGCCTAGGCCGATTGCGTGAGCTTGACCTGAGTTACTGTGGTATTAGACAGTTATCCATGGATGCTCTTCTAGGCTGTAAACGACTGCAGTTGCTTAGGTTGGCGCACAACAATCTCACTTACTTGCCGCCAGGTCTGCTGGACGATCTACAACTGGAGGAAATATATCTGCAAGGCAATCAGCTGCGGACATTACCCACATCGTTTTTCCTGCAGACGCGCCTGCTGGTCGCCCGCCTCAACGACAATCCATGGGAGTGTAGCTGCGACATGAGCAACTGGCTTGCACGCATAACCAATGCTGTGCGTGGTCGGCCTGTTGAGCAGTGCGTCACCGACTTCATGACTGGACAGGTTATGTCGTGTCGGCGCGTGCACAGTCTTGAAATGGACAAGAGCTTGGCGCCGCGCTGCGCCAACTTCAATGGGCGGAGCGTCTATTATGTCAGGCGCAAGGATCTACGATGCGGCGAAATTAGATTTCTCCGGCATACTAAAACCAAACCGTCGCTCCCACACTGGCGTAAAGTGGAACAAATGCAACAAAAAAGGCAACAAAATCCCAAGCAAGGCAAGCAACAGAAGCTTAAAATTAATCCCAATAGCTTGGAGTATGGGCTCACTCCGCCCCAATTGGCAAACCGGCCAGATCTAAACTTATCAAATGAAATTTAATACGCGCACACACATAGGTTAGCTGTAGTATAAGTGGTGGGAATAAAGTAGCTTTAAACCATTAGACTGACAAACTACCCGCCAGATAGGCAACCAAATAATTGTTTTCCCCTTCGGATTGTTCAATGATTACGTCTTAACGTATTTGAAAGCAGCTGGCCAAAAAGCCCGATTGCTCCGACTGTCAATTTGTTCAGTACATAAATAATGAAGATAATGGATATACATCAAATTTGCGTTCTTTTTAGGTCCCTTTTGCCACTTTTCTTCTTCCTAACACAATAGCATTATCCTTAAAAAGTGTCTGCAGTTGACTTTTCCGTATGGGCTAATCTATGTATACGTTTTTACATGAACCAATATCACAGATAGTATCCGCCACCGTATTTACATGGAATAAAAGCAAAAATCTACTTGCCCCTGAGCATTGTGGCGCAGCTGCCCTTGAATACGCTCCTCAAACCTCCCTCCTTGTAGAGCTTTATGGCACAATCCTGAAAATAACGGAATGTAAATAAATACTGCCAAACAATCGATTTATTTAAGGCTTACAATCATGCCATTATATTTGCGCTCTCCACCCGCACCTTGCTGGGTTTGTAGCAAAACCTTAATGCGCTCTCCAGGAGCCATGATGAGCGTGGAGAACAGGCCGGAGAATGAACCTGCTACAAAGATTTGTGAGTAAGTCAGCTTGGCATCCTCGCCAGTCTGCTGAACTCGTTTTCCGAGGGCATAGCCAGCAAAGCACATGGCGAAAATGGGAGCCACTCCTGTCAGCGGTGCCGACATGCCCTTGTACAAGCCTCGGAAGCCCTCATTGCGGATCGTCTTAGCTGCACAGTCAAAGGTACCACGATACATAGGCTGTTCACCTGGTGATGGGCGTGGCATCGTTTGTAAACGCACCTGAAATATTTGTCATTAAATAATGTTGCATCAATGTCATGATAATTAGGTTTACCTTGATGGTGTCCAGCGGATGGCCGGAGAGCACATTGCAAATGCCGCCAAAGCCGCCGGTGATGAACGATTTCAGGGGATTTGCCTTGCGCTCCGCGGGTAGGTTCTCAGGTGCCGTAGATATGGGCAAAAGTTTCTCCGCTGTTACTGTAGACATTGCTTTAAATTCTAGGTTTTGCAGTTTGAGAAGTGATTTGATATGAAAATAAGCATGTAAAATTGGGTTAAATTGAAGTTTGACCTTTGAATGATTAATCCTAATCTGTAGTGTCCAATGAACTACGACTGTTTGATAAGCGTCAAGTGTATTACGACACGAAGACCCTAGAATTTGTTTTACTTTGTTTTATTATTCATTTTTAGGTTCAGTGCAGCTGGCCTAATTTATAATGTTCATGTGCTTGTCTTACCTGCACTACCAATTTTAATAATAATAGCGTAGCACGTTACTGCAGTTCCAGGCCAGGAACCTGTTGCTTACGGGTGCACGACGCGTATTGTTCCATACATTTGTATATATATTTTTTCCCAATATTAACATGAAAAGGGACGGATTTTGTTATCAGCATTTGTAATTAACAAAGTTATAAACAAATTAGATGTTACAAGCCTAGTGTCAAATTAAATTTAACTTACAGTTCCAAATTTACATTCGCCGGCTTTCGGTCAAAGTCCACGTAGGCAACAGCTTCAGCGTGCTGTGATTGATCAGTTATTTCGGTTTCCCGAAGTGATCCACAAAACTGCAGTGTGTGTCTTTTGCTGGGCTGCTTTTATCTACAATCTTAAAGCATACATATTAATTTTGAAGCCAAGTTTTCAATAAAAATATGCTGTAAACAGGTGCTGCCAGCCTGTCGAAAAATTGCAATACATCACACACCAGCTGATAGTAGGGTACCGGATATGTTTACTTTCATTAAAATTATTTAAAGATATACATATGTATGTCAATATTGTCATCGGCAAGGAAAAACAATCTTTTTTGCTTTTTGGAATCTATTTAAAAACGACAATACATGTTCAACATTAGCCATTTGAAATCAAATCCAAATGAAATCTATTGTGAATTGGACAGAAATGATACGCACAGCAAAACATCGATTCCCAAATATGTTCACACATATCGATAAAAAGTAGCCTTTCTTTTGTGTTATCTGCAAATTCAACTTTAAAATTACCAACAGATCATTTAATTGCCTAATTAATCTATGAATTAAATATTAGAAGCATAAGTGGCATTTGTGAACCACAGGCACTTGAGTTGTAAGTGCTTAGCACGCACCTTGTAGCTGTCAAACGAGCTATTGCGTTAGTGACACAAAGGTGGAAGAAGAAGAAGCAGGCCATAGTCAGCCCAAAAAATTTGTTGCGTGTGCATTTGCTGACATATTTAAGGAATTTATTTAAATTATTTTCCTGCAACTTGGTGTACAACAACATATGTAGAACTTATGTCTGATAAAAGTGTAAGCGAATTATGCGGTATCAGTTGTAGTGCGAGCAGCTGCAGCAGCAGGCGGAAAAGAAGAAAGTGAAACGGCAGCCAGCAGCAAAGAATTTGTAAACCAAAAAATTACCCTACAACACAAGGTGTTCCTGTGCATGTGTACAAGGGCAACGAGTAGAAGGTAGCTGAAGTAGCGGCAGGATCAAAGTCAAAGTCGTTGGTGACTAAAACATCGAACTGCTCTGTTAACCAGAAACGACGCTTCTACTCTCCGCAAAGCAATGTCCAATGGTGACGATGTGCTAGACAACTGGGAAGAAATTGATGAGGAAGGGGTATGAATTAGTATACCAACACTTTATTCCAAACATTATAACCTTTCTTTCTAACTCCTCAACTCTAGCTTTGCATGAAATTGCAAACAAAACTGCAGACTACGACCACATACGACACTACAACGTCCACAACAGTGCAAATTTTCAGCAAGCCCGCTGCAGATACTTTGGAAACAGCCTGCCACACCAGTGCCACCAAAATGAAAGTTTTACAGCGTCCACAAAGCTTGCAAGAGAGCAGCACATCAGCAGCATCCAAACAAATAACCATTGCCAAGAAGCCGTCACCCCCGGTTGGCAGCGATGATACTAACACGGGTACGTCCGTCGTTATGGTCCTGCATAAGTCTGCAAGTGAATACGATGCGGGGAATTATGTCAATCCTATTAGCAATCAAACAGTAAAAATTTTGCGCAGACCAGCGCAAGCAGAAGAAAGACGTGATCCCAATGGCATCCGTCCCAGGCAACCCATTAAAACGTTGCAGCAGCGCGAGCAGGAGTACGCAGAAGCACGACTACGCATACTGGGTGCGGCCAAAAATCCCGAAGATGATAAGCCGTAAGTGAAATCTAATGTTAAATAGAACTAAATTCTCATCATTGTTCATTATTTTCTAGTGCCACACCAGCGATCGCAGTTACTAGTAGCGCAACCCTCGCTTCTGCGCCGCCTGCCCCCGTGGTTTCAAATGCAACCAACAACAACAATACTAGGCACATCGCCGCTACGCTGCCAACTAGCATGCATCGCTCTAATTCGGCACCTAAAATGACTCTATCACCACAGTGCTATAATAACTACAACAACTACTTCCAACCGCCTCCGCTAAACTATTTTTATCAGCAAGCAGGTCCCCCACCTCCGTCTCTGCAGTTGCAACAACAGCAACCACATTACAACCAACGCATGCCAGCGTATGGCACAGCTCCAGGAGTCCCGCCACAGATCCCACAACCATCCAATGCACAACAAAGCTGGTCGCCCGTGGTTGGTGGCAGCGTGTCCGCCGCTCTTCTGCGTCAGCAGCAACAACAGCAGGCTGTACCGCACCACCATCATCAGCAACAACAACAGCATCCCTATAACGACAACATCTTGCGATTGCCACGCGGTCCTTGCCCTAATGGGACGATTGGATTTCAGATGCGTCGGTAACATTTGCGGCCCATGGCCTGACTCCGCTCTTTTACTTTTATTTTTAATTCTATCGGTATCATCATGTGTATTAATACGCTTGTATTTAAGATTAATTTGAGATTTTGTAAGGAGTTCTGGACGATGTTCTCTGATTTTTATCAGCGACATGCTAAATATCGTAAGGATTAGTTGCATCAACCTGAGCTTGCAAGAATAATACACACATTTAAATTATTTATGACGGAGTATGGTAGTTATTTTGTAAATTTCCAACTTACAAATTTTTATTAAAATACACGCTACTAATATAATAACAAAATACCTTGCCACATTCATATATGTATGTAGGGTGTGATTGCGAAATTAAACAAAAAGTCGCCTATCAAGATTACACAACCTCGTATTATATTTACAGATGCATTGATAATCTGAGGCATTGCCAGATACACGTCTACCAAATTCGGATATTGGCCAATAGGCGACGCCCCAGTACATATTTTGTACATGTCGTTCTTTGATAACCAACAGACTAAAAACACGAATTAATTAACTGGTACGTTGCAATTTAAGCAGACAGATGGTCAAGTCTTTTTTGTCCACAGTACAAAGTTATTTCACAAAAATCTTGTTGCATTTAAAAAGGCGACTAAGGAATTGTGCACGTCATATTCCTGATAATTTAAGTCGCTTGCATTTACCCCCCCATTGGAGGGATCAGGGGTTATCAAATGTTTTTGTTATTGGCAAAAGGCTGACATAAATATGTCTGGAAGTGCAATACACCCGATCTTGATATGGCAGAATTGTTGCGAAATGTAATGTTGCCAACTATATATACACACATATGTATGTATGTATACTATACCTTTGTATTTGGCACTCGATCTAGGCTTTCATTTGACAGATTTAGTTTCAGTTGCAAGCTGCGCGTCGTGCTGATCAGTTCAATTAATGTTGCATATAATAAATACGGGTGAATACATAAAAACGTTCGCACACATACGTATGTAAATGCATACATAAATATTAGTATAAAATCGTAGTTGAATACTTGCTTTTTATACTCGTTTCTACTCAAAACAACTACTCAGCAGTTTTGCTCTCACGCTAGTTTGTTGTTCTCCGGCTTTTGCGCTATCAACACGTGGACGCTCGCTATAAACAAATTAAACTAAAGTGTTTGATTAAGATCGCGTATATATTTTTCAAACAACAATTCGAACGTTTCGGAAAGTTGGCCGAAGAAAAACTAAACTAAAATGTCTCATCGCGTACTCGTTATTGGTGGTGGCGGACGGGAGCACGCCATCTGCTGGAAGTTAGCCCAATCGACCCAAATAGCGCATATCTATGCTCTGCCCGGAAGCGTTGGCATTGCAAAGATCGAGAAATGCGAGAGCCTTGGATCATCGCTCGATGAAAAGGATTTTGAGGTGAGTGCATCGCACCCTGTGGAGGTTGCAGAATAAAACAGAACCTAACCGTCCTTCAGTTAACCTTCAAGTGCGGCTTAATGTTACAAAGAGCAAGCATGACAGTCAGCTGGGTGTGGAATTTCAGCAGCGTCCGTATGTTGCGAGGCTTCTGAGTCCCATCAGACACCTTCGCAGATCGGCTACCAACATCGACACAATCCGCAACAATGGATTTAATATATTCGCTATTTAGTATGTGTCTACACATGAAGTCAAAAAATTGATCCTTCGACAATTAAACATTAAGCTCAGCAATCGGGGCCTGGCATAGCTCAGCGAACTAGCGGGAATCCACAATGGGAGTTCGTTCCTTGAGTAGGCACTCGGTTTGAATCATGCCGCAACCATCAGACAGAAGCACGATTAAACATTTAATGATTGTCCAACATAGGACAGATCTTAAGTAAAGATTAAAGATTAAAATAAAGCTCACCAATAGTTTTAGTGACCTAATTACAGCCTATGACGAAAATTACTTGTAAGTAAGAACGCTATAGTAATATCAGTACGAAGAGTATACTAGTGTAGATGTGTGTCAGACCCCCCAAAGTATAAGCATATGTATATTCTCGATTAGTATAAAAAGACGAGTCGATAGTCCGTCCATCTGTCTGTATGAACGCAAGAAAGTGACCTAAGTATCCAGATTCCATATTTCTGCTGACATTGATATTGAATAAGTGCATTTCCCATTATAGGAGTACAATAATTTATATTGAGAGAATCTTTCTCTCTCCACTTGAATATTAATATGTAAACAAAATATATCCATTGTTTACTTAACACATTTATTATTTAATGCCTAACTTATGGTTTATATAAAGTTCACCAGACAGCATTGCATTTCTTACCGAATGCTGCTGCGACTCTGTCTCTTGAGTCTTCTCAGAGCCGGAGAATTCGCTTGCGTTGCGGACGGTGGTGCGTGCGTCAGGTAGACGACCTTTGGTGTAGTGTTGCGGGGTCGCGGCACCGGAGTAGTGGATTCCGCAATATTCCGTGTGTATACCTTGAACGCCTCGTTGTCATGGGATACGGTCTTAAGCTCACCACTGTAGTAGTCGCGCACCTGATAGGGGTGATTGCGAATGTACTCCAGGGCGCGGAGAATGTAGTCAGGAACCTTCGGTATGTGATCGCCTATTGGGTGGTAGCCTGTCTCGTCAGCCACATATCGAAGGCTAATGATACTGCCGTCGGGCGCTGTGTAGCTGGAGTCGCCTTGAACGGCCACGCCCCCTAGTCCTGCCTGCTTGGCAGAAATGCCATTGGAGGTCTCATAGGCGTAGTGATAGTTGCCATCGATTTGCAGCTCCTGCTGGTTGCGCAGTGTATGTGTATTTCGGTCGGAGTACGGTATGTAGAGTGTGTCGGACAAAGACAGCCTTGGCATCAGGCACAACAGTGCAATGATGGGAACTACCTGTGGATTGCAGAGAGCAGCTCTGAGTTATAATCCCAAAAGGGCATTTGTGTGTGTGCGTGGGAGTGGACTTACAAGCTGATTCACCCACATAATTGTCTTGGTATTTAGCACGTCTGGTTCAATGGTAATTTTGTTTTTGGTGCTGTTGGTTCTAGCGCGTCAGCGTATCGACTGATTGCCTGCTTTTGGCACGCTTTCGTTTTTATATCCATCCGCTCACCAAAAATTACTTAGGCATTTTGACATTTTTGTCTCACGATGATGCCGAAGCGAAGTTCCGAAACGAAGGCAATGTCGCCAGCTAGTCATAAATAAAATTATTTCGCATATTATTGTTTTTATTTTTTATTTTTCGTTGCAATTCTATACGTGTGGGCTGCTAAATTCGTGTGCCCTACATCAAGGTTGTGGTACTTAAAATTTGATATGTGACTTGGTCGATCTTGAAACGGTGCCTGTTTCCTTTATCGATCTGGCAATTGACGACGGTTTATACGTTGTCGAATGATTATGATGGTTCGGATAGGGCGAAAATTAAAAAAGAGACTTAGTCCAGTTCCGATTTGACACAATTTTCGGAATCGAGACTACAACGAAAACTACACAAAGATTAAAAGACAGTTAACGCAATCTTAGATCAATAGGTCTTCGGACAATTACTTTAGTTTTACATTGTCATGGATTTTACTCTTCCACAATATATACATATGTACCTATAGTCAAGTTATTTTATATACATATTCAGTTATTTTATACATATTTGCTTATTTATTGTGTTTTTAAATTTTTGATTCAACTTATTAGGTATTCACTCATCTAAGCGTATCCAATTGCCATCTAATCCACGACAAATTGGGCAAATTTTTTGTTATTTGCATATAATACCGTAAATCATCAACGCACTCTTTAAAACAACCCGAAAAGTGTAGCACTAAAAACGTTCTAACCAAATTCGGAAGTTGCTATAGAAACGGACACGAGCATTGTTTGACGCAGTCAAAAGTTCGTAAAACTATGTTCGGTGTGTTTAGTAGTAATCCAGAGACAACTTGTCTTCTGTTGCCAATGTTGTTATTCCTATTGTTGTTTTTCGCTAGCGACGATCTTTGAGTCTACTGTAGTAAGTAGTATTTGTTTCAAGAAATTAAATAATGAGCCGGTTTCCTGCCAGATAAACCTTAAGTAGTTGGCTCTCTCGCTCAATACCTCGATATTGCACTTCGTCATAAGGCAATTGACATATGAAGTCGAAATATTTCACAACGTATATTAATCGGTATCCGCTGTGTCCGTTTGAACGTTCTTGAACTTTTGTGAAGAGGGACAAGCTGGCTTCAACAAGTGGGGCTAAAGGGATCCTATAACTGGCGGAACTTCTTCACGCTAAATCGTCTAGAACGCTGTTGCATTTGGGGCTTACCCAAAGGCTGACGGCGCCAATTCCATTAGAACGCAATCAAATTCACAAACGCAGTCGCAGTCACGCTCTAGACTACAAAAACCGGATCAATTTGCTGGGTATTTGGCACATAGCTGTAGCTTGAGTCAGTTTGTTTTTCTCACATTTTTAAGGCAATAAGACAATTCACTGGCGACGACTTAATAATAATGCAATTAGGAAGGTATTTGACAAATTGGTAGAACAGGTTTTGCTTATTCTTGGGTGCAGCGAGCGCATCGACCCAAATGAACATTTGCTTAAAGCATCATCTAATCTCATATAATAACTCTTTCCAATTTCAGGCCGTGGCTCAGTGGAGCAAAGCTCAAAACCTTTCTTTCGTTGTTGTTGGACCCGAAGATCCCCTAGCTCTGGGGTTGGGTGATGTTTTACAAAAGGCAGGAGTTCCTTGCTTTGGTCCCGGACAGGAAGGCGCACAAATTGAAGCGGATAAGAAATGGGCCAAAGACTTTATGCTTCGGCATGGTATTCCCACGGCACGTTACGAAAGTTTCACGAACACCATTTTGGCTAAGGAGTTCATTAAAAGGTTAGCAAAAGTTATTAATTTCGATGAAAATAATGTTTAAGTACGCTCTGTGGACGTTTTAGAGGATCACAATGTAAATGAAAGCTATTAGCCATTATCCTATTACTGACCAAAAAAGATAACTGAAGTTGTGGTTTTGTTTTTGCTTCAATGTTGGAATTTGACAAAATTCAACACGTCTATAATTGTCTAGGACTTAAATAACTAATTGTTGAGTTTAATTCTACAGTTCGCTTTCGTCTTTATTAAGGTTGGGATCAATCCAATTAAATTCTTATATAAAATTATATAAAATATATAAAGTTTGGGCTTTATCAATTTTGCAGTGCTCCTTATAAGGCCCTTGTAGTGAAAGCCGCTGGCTTGGCTGCTGGCAAGGGCGTCGTCGTAGCTAATAATGGGGATGAAGCTTGCCAAGCAGTTGACGAAATTCTTGGACAACTGAAGTACGGTAAAGCTGGCGCCACGCTTGTCGTTGAGGAGTTACTCGAGGGCGAAGAGATATCCGTGCTGGCCTTTACTGATGGTAATACTGTGAAAGTGATGCTTCCTGCCCAAGATCATAAGCGATTGGCCGATGCTGATAAAGGTCCAAATACAGGCGGCATGGGGGCTTACTGTCCGTGTCCACTGATTACAGAAGAAGTATTAAAAGTGGTAGAGCGGGAGGTATTAGAACGAGCGGTGGATGGTCTTAAAGCAGAAGGAATCACTTACCAAGGCGTGCTTTATGCGGGCTTAATGTTGACGGAAGATGGTCCCAAAGTCTTGGAGTTCAATTGCCGTTTTGGAGATCCAGAAACACAAGTTATACTGCCGCTGCTGCAAACAGATTTATTTCAAATCATGACAGCTTGCTGCAAAGGAACGTTGAATGATATTTCTCTGCTGTGGCGCCACGGGACATCCGCTGTGGGTGTTGTTTTAGCAAGTGCTGGCTATCCAGAAACGTCAACGAAGGGCTGCCTTATCACGGGTGAGTAAATCTATTGTCATCAGATCTTTTAAGAAAGAAACGTCAACATGGAATTAATTGGCGGGCCTGTCGGTAGGGGTGGTAGTGTAACCCGTATACTTTCAGATGAACGTTTGACTTTTCCCTAGCATACAAACAAGTAGACCCAATTGAGATCATCAGTCCTAACCCCTATAAAAAAGGCACCTTAATTGTTTTGCCTAAACCGAAGCTCGTTTACTTTCCAATTAAAACGTAAACAATATCAAGAACAGTAACATGTCCGTTTAAAAAATAATCCGATAGTAAGTAAAGAACTTGAGAATCTAGATGTTTTGTGCAAATCGTGTTTGCATTACATTAAAGTATTCGAAATCCGTAATTAATTGCGTTTTTTGAAAGTATTTGGAGACTAAGTTAATTTAGGTATAAGCGAATTTAATTGATTGGCCATTTGTATACGATGCATACTAATGAATCAAATTCATTTTACAAATTTTAAAAAGTCCGAAGGCGTATTTAAGTTCTGACCATGAGTCGTCGTAATGTTCTCCACTTCCAACGCTTGCTTTAGCTGCCAAAAATTATTTAATGAGTTCAAAACCATTTTTGGGCACCTACTTAACTGTAACTAAAATGAATCCTTTTTTGCAGGTCTGCCACTTGAAAACACGGACACTCAACTTGTTTTTCACAGCGGCATCTCAGTAAATGCTGCGGGTGATGCACTCACCAATGGCGGACGCGTTCTCATAGTGGTGGCCCTGGACGATAGTCTTCAGACTGCTGCAGCGAAAGCCACAAAATTAGCAGCGGGAATTATCTTCGCCGGTGTAGGCGCACAGTATCGCACAGACATAGCGCATAAGGCCTTCAAGCTGTAAATAGAGAGTTTCTTATTAAAGTACCATCCCAGATCTTATCTAAATATTCGCCTTCTTTCCTTTTTTTATTCCAATATCGATGCTGGAGACAGTTCCACTTCGATGAGCTATCGAGATAGCGGTGTCGACATCGATGCTGGTGACGCTCTTGTGCAAAGAATTAAGCCGCTTTCGCGTGGCACACATCGGCCTGGAATAATAGGAGGTCTAGGTGGTTTCGGCGGACTTTTTCGCATCAAGGATGTGGATGTGAAAAGCGAGCCTGTTATTTGTGAGGTCGTGCATGGTGTGGACGCCAAAATTAAGCTGGCCCTTGCTTACGATCAGTATGAAAATATTGGCTACGATCTATTCGCAATGTGCGCTAATGACGTCCTGGAGATGGGTGCCGAGCCGGTGGCTTTTCTAGACTATATTGCATGCGGAAAGCTGCAGGTGCCATTGGCAGCGCAATTTGTCAAGGGAATTGCCGATGGTTGTCGCGATGCGCGCTGCGCTCTATTAGGTAAGTTGGCAATCCCTGAACTAGCCAGCCCGGGTCTTTAATTTAGCATTTTTCTGCTTCCTTCAGGCGGTGAGACTGCAGAGATGCCTGCACTCTATGCCTATGGTCAGTACGACCTGGCCGGCTATTGTGTGGGTATCGTAGGCCAGTCGCAAATCCTACCTCGTTTCGATTTATACGAGGAGGGTGATCTGCTTGTTGGCTTGCCCTCCTCCGGCCTACACTGTTCCGGCTTCAACGCCTTGCTTAGCAAGTTAAGTGGAAGTGACATTAAACTGAATTCTCCCTCCCCCTGTGGAGATCGTGGCTTGACATTAGCCCAAGTTTTGGGTATGCCCACAAAACTATATGTCCAGGAGGTGTTACCACTGCTGAAGAATGGGCATGTAAAGGGTTTGGTTCACATTGCACATGGACTTATTCACGACGTTGGGCGCCTACTACCCCAAGATTTTGGCTCTGTCTTGGATTTTGGGGCTGTGCCAGTGCCTGAGGTGTTTGGCTGGTTGGCCGCTCAGCTAAAGCTCAGCGCCAATGCATTACTGGAGCAGCATAACTGCGGTATAGGAATGGTGCTGGTTCTACCTAAGGACAGTCATGTGTGGCGGAGCCAACTGACCGGTTCAAAGGTGCTGGGCGTGCTGAAGCGACGCGATACAGATGGCGGTGCGCAATTACTGATACGGAATTTTGAGGAACAACTGGTTCAGGTTGCAAAGCTCTACGGCGGCTTGGGCAATAATAATTTGCCCACAGAAGTAATGAGTATACCATCCACTAAACTCAATCAATTTATTCGCACTGAGTGCTTTGAGAATGCGTCGGGCCGACGGTTGACTCGAGTTCCCCCACGTTTCAATGACCCGGTCCTTGTTTTGGGCACCGATGGAGTTGGCACCAAGCTTAAAATAGCTCAGCAGATGGGCCGCAACAGCACTGTAGGCGTCGATCTGGTGGCCATGTGTGTTAATGATATTCTATGCAATGGTGCCGAACCCATCAGCTTCTCCAGCTACTATGCCTGCGGTCAATGGCAGGACCAACTAGCACTGCAAGTGGCAGAGGGCGTAGCAGAAGGTACTCGACAGGCCAGAAGCAGTTTAATAGGTAAGCAAATCCACAGTCGCTGCTGTGCAATCAGATCAAGAGTTATTGGAAATATCACCAGATCTCCAACCGACTGCTTGTGCCAAGTATCACCTCAAAGTTTTATTTATTGCGCGGGTTGTTTTCTCCAAAAACAAAGTTCAAAAATAGTTTATTGACAAATTAAATTGAACATACAAGTCATTAAATAGCTTTATATTGCCAAAGCTTTAAATATCATACAGCTATTCTGGCTACTTGTTGTCGTAATTAAATCTGACTGAAATTTTGCAACAAACTATAAGAAGCCAGTAAACGCAAGCCGCAGACCCTTCGCTAGGCAATAAATTGGGGGTGTTATGATCTTCCAATATCTTATTGACTTGTTTTTGCATCACGCAACTGTTACGAACTGAAATTTATGTAGAGTCGAATTCGAAAACAAAAACAAGTCGCACGGTGTCAAATCTAGACAATAGGGCGGACTTCGTAGCGTAATTTAACCAATTTGGCTGTGGAGACGGCGGAGGTATGAGCCGATGTATTGTCATGGTGGAAGAGAATTTTTTCTTAGCCAAAAATGGGGCCTTTTTTTCGGCAATCCAGCGTCGAATAGGTCCAATAATTCGTCATAGTAGAACCCTGTGCTCATTTTGCCCTTCTCTAGGTAGTCGATGTGGATCTTTAGAAGTAAGACTTCATATTCTGAAAAGATAAGGATGAAAATAACCGGAGTGATAAAAATCAATTCAAATCGGTAATACTAAATCAGAAATATTCATAACATTCCCTACATTGCAGCCACCCACAATGCATCCGTGCCCCTACTATACGCTCCGCAGGTCTACGATCTCGCCGGCTTCGCTTTAGGTATTGCAGAGCGGCAAATCATCCTGCCCCTTCTAGAGAAGATTGCTCCTGGCGACGTGCTCATTGGACTGCCGTCTACTGGTGTGCACAGTAATGGCTTCAGTCTGGTACATGCTGTACTGAAACGTGCTGGACTGGGCTTCGAGGACAAGTCACCTTTTAGTGATCGCACCATCGGGGAGGAGCTGTTGGTTCCTACTAAAATCTACTTAGAGGCGATATCACCTTTACTATCCAGACAGGAGCACGGCATTAAGGCGTTGGCGCACATAACAGGCGGCGGCTTAACGGAGAATATTCCGCGCGTGCTGCGGCCCGAACTTGCTGTTCGCCTGGATGCCCTCAAGTTCCACATACCTTCGGTCTTTGGTTGGTTGGCAGCGGCTGGGAATATTGCTAGCTCCGAGCTACAACGCACTTATAACTGTGGCCTTGGCCTAATCCTTGTGGTGGAACCAGCGGCTGCAAAGTCGGTCCTGGACAAACTTCGCTACACAGAACGCGCCACTATTGTGGGCGAGGTTGTGGCTCGTAAAGCCACTCACGCTCCCCAGGTGCTTGTGGAAAACTTTGAGGAGTCGCTTGCGCGCACACAGTCTTCGTTGGGGCTGCCGCCCAAGCGTGTTGCAGTACTCATCTCTGGCTCGGGCAGCAACCTACAGGCGCTTATCGATGCAACGCGAGATAGCGCACAAGGCATGCATGCCAATATTGTGCTTGTCATATCAAATAAGCCAGATGTCTTGGGTTTGGAGAGGGCTTTTCGTGCTAGTATCCCTTCACTTGTCATTTCCCATCGCAACTTTGAATCGCGCGAGGCCTACGATGCGGAACTTTCACGTCATCTGCGTGCAGCCCGGGTAGATCTAGTGTGCCTGGCAGGTTTTATGAGAGTTCTCAGTGCGCCTTTTGTACGCGAATGGCGTGGACGCCTCATCAACATACATCCATCGTTATTGCCAAAATATCCAGGTCTGCATGTGCAACGCCGCGCTTTGGAGGCGGGGGAGCGTGAATCGGGCTGCACAGTTCACTTTGTAGACGAGGGCGTAGACACGGGAGCCATTATTGTGCAGGCTGAGGTGCCCATTTTGGATGGAGATGACGTCGACGCATTATCACAGCGCATTCACACTGCAGAGCATTGGGCCTATCCGCAGGCTCTGAGGTTGCTTACCAACGGCCAGGTTTCGTTGAGCTCGGCTGGAAAGCAAGTAATATAATCGGATAACCAGCAAGTAATATAATATGTAATATACCGTAGAATAAGTTGTTTCTTTTAATAATAAACTCTGACCAGCTGTTCTGTATACATTTTTACAAATGTCAGGTTGTAATAAATCTAAGAAAGCTGTTAATTTTACGAACGGCCCGGTTCATCTATAGCCGCAGCTGTTCTATGATGCGTAATACAAGTAGTAATTACAATTTTCGAACTTTTACATTATAGATATAAGCACGATTTCAAATAAATTGTCGGTAAGAGTTTGCAACGATATATATCTTTTTTCGTCGATGTATTTATCGATAACATGAATTTTCTAATTCACTTCTCCAGTGCGTACACAAGAAATTCACAGCATCAATTTAAGTGCTAAAAAATGCCAGCAGCTGGAAGCAGCAGCCACACAAACAAATTATAATGTGCTAGGAAAAGTTGTAAAAAGTGTAACAAAACGCGAAAAGGCTCTTTATAACAATATAAAAACGCAACACTTGAATAAGGGCACAAAATTTGTTAAAGTGCGTACCAAACAAAAATTACCAGCATTTGTCGTAGAATTCTTGTGAAAATTTCCTAACTTTGTGTTGTTGATTTTTTTATGTACGTCTTTGCTATACTTCGCCCCTCATGCGCAGCGCAGTCATGATAAATAAGTGCGGTATATTTAATAGTAACAGGGCAGCGTGCTAAATATTAAATATAAATGAATTTACTGTATTATTGAGATTCGCGATAAAAATTCTTTAATAAAATCAACAATTTTTCGTAAATGTCCCTCTGGTGCGTGTTCGTAAGTGTATGTGTGTGCGAGTAATGTTGTCTCGCTCGCGCAGCGCACAGCGGAGAATTACTAGTTGCTGTATAAATGTGAGTGTTATGTGTAAGCATGTGTGTGTGACTTTGACTGCAGCTCGTACGTTTTTGATTAAAAAGTAATAAAAAAAAGTACGGTAATTAAATGTACAAAACGCAACGAACATGTTGAAAACCACAACAGTAGCAAAAACAACGACAGCTTGGCACACCAATTTATATAGCAAAAACAGCTCCAGCACTACCGCCACCTCTATCACAACAACAATAACAAATTGTTACTATTAGTAATGCAAAATTAAAAACCTAACCAGTATGCATTAATATGTATTTTTCATGTCGGTGTGTGTGTTTGTCGCTATCTCAGTCCATGTTTAATTCTGTTTCTGGGTTCATGTATTTGTCTTAAATAATATTTAAACATTTTCAATCCGTCTAAAACTGTGCACGGCAACTATAAATTAAAATTAATGCGAACAACAACTTCAGCAAAAGGCAACTTCGCCGCCGCAATTGCAATAATTAGAAAGGTGAGTAATTATGGAATATTAATAAACAGCGAGCGCGCATATTTGTTATTAAAAACAAAGATGCCCCCAAAAGTGTTTCAAAAGTTCGTCATAGCATTTGTTGTCTCGGATCTAAGCTTGATGTTATTTGTCTCCATAACAAAAAAATTTTCATTTTTTCATGCCCTCCCTTGTTTCTTTTTATTCGCTGCCTTTTAATTTTAATTTGCTCTGCGCAGCGAATCGCCCATTGTGAATGCGCACAAAAACAAAGCTAAGTGGTAGAGTAGCGGCCCTCTCACACAATACTGCTCTCTTGTGCTCTCACAATGTGATTGTGTGCGTATATGTTTGACCGCGTACGGCTGTTTGATGTGTTTTGGCTTTTTCTTGTCTCTATTCCATTTATTAGTTTGGATTTTTCGACAACTTTTGTATAGTCAACTTAATGTTTAGTATGTGTGTATATTGGGCACTTTATGGTGCTGTAGCATATGCATGCGATACACACACAGAACATTCCAATAGGATTTTAACCATCATGTGCAAAGAAATAGCAAGATTAGAGTTTTGAACCGGAAGAAGTAACCTCACACCCCTAAAAAATGTTTCATATATACAGATGTACTTGTATGTATATAATTATGAGTGTGGATCAATGACACAAAAAACGAATTACACCCAAAATTCGATTACTTTTATATTATTTATGGAAATATGTGGCGGGAATATCTGGTGTTTACATAAATTCATGCAAATGTGTGATTGTAATCCGGGAGAACCCCCATTCTATGTTTATCAAAGAAATAATTGATTCATGAAATCAAATTTCAAAACAAAATTATACAGGAACAAACAAATTGCACCTATGTATACAAATGGAGGCACATTTGCAATTGTATCTATGCAGGTTTAAAAACGTAGTACGCTCTGTCAGTAACAACAACAACAAATGCACACCGTCGGTTTCAAATTCCAATGCAACAACAACAAGAGTATACACAGTAATCGAAGTAAAAACAATCCTTCGTTCGCTCTCTCTGTTTGCCTCTCTCCTATATTCATTCACAATTTCAGCACACACACACGTATACGCAAGCGAACGGTGAGAGTATTCAAAAGCAGTCGGCAAAGATTGAAGTAAAAATGAACGCCAGTCTCGTCTGTGCAATCGTTGCTGTAGCGCCGCGAAAACATAATCTTAGCGTAAAATAAAAATAAATAAAATCTAAAATGTGTTTATGCTTAAAGCATTAATTATTTAAGTGCAATAGTGTTAGTGTGTATGTGAGTGTCTGCAGTTTATTTGCTATATGCTTAAGTGCAAAGTTCAAGCAGTAAAAAGCGAAAAAATGAGCAAATACCAAAGAAAATATTACATAGTGTAAGTTTAAATAACGATAATACTCAAAACAAGTAAAAAAGCGATTCGCGAATGAGATCCATTTTAAATCGTTCAGTAACAAAACTTTATTTAGAAGTAAATAACTTCCCGCCGTGTTATCAATCTCCCCACCACCGTTTTCGTAAGGTGTTTGTACGAAATATTAACGTTTTTTACACGGCAGACTTAGCCAATTTCGCCGCAGTTGACGTCGCAGCGTGCGCCACTTGAGCGGGCTGGCTCTTTATCTCGTCGTTTCTCTTGCCTGTTTGCTTACTCACTCCCGTTGAGCAAAACCTTTGCAAATCAATTAAAATAACAATAGCAATCCAATAACAACAATTCAAGAAATCTACAGCACGACAGCGTTAAAAATTTCGCTTTCGTATATGACAAAGCTCGAAGAAACACTGAAAAAGTACAAAACATACATACGTATATACATATGTATATAAAAAATACGGCAGCAAAAGTGAAATGCGCATTGACTTGACTTTTGTCAATTTTTCAAACGCCACTCGGCTCTCGCTGTTGTGTTCCTCACTGACTTTTCGTTCGCTCTTTTTTTGTATTTTCGCATCTTGTCATGTAACGGAACTGGCCTAAGCAAAACAGTCGCGTTTCATTGTTGTTTAAATGTTGTTAGCAGCAATCTAAAGACAGTCAACCAGTCATAGAGATGAAATAAAACACAAAAATATGAAAGAAAAACAAGCTCATGAATAAGATTTATTGTACAAAAGTACAAAATTATAATTAAGCAAATAATTCAAAATATAATTTCGGCTGTAACTTCCTTTTAATCCTAAAATAGGAACAAAATAGAGGCAGGAGAACCTATAAGCTAAAATTGACCGTACTCCAATAACAAAAGGCAACTTGACCATATCGGGATAATTTGGTTATCTGTTAATTTGTCAAATTCTTTCTCGCGCTAAGATCGTTTATGTAGGTGAAATGTTACCATGTCTGAGTCGACACTGCCATTTGATCTACAATTGACCTATATTTTCATCAAATGCGGTATGCTATTTGAAGGTATTTAAGAGTTGAGCCCGCGTTCCATTAGTATCCTTTCTTGTTTAAAATTTAATTTTATTAATTTAGTTAATTAATTCAATTTAATTATCACATATATGTATGTATGTTTATGTAAGGCTTTAATGGAATTGAATCAGAAAAAAAAGAAGCAAACTTGTCGGACTTAGAACTGCTGAAGAATGTATATAATTAGTGGGGTCTTTCCCACCTCCTTCTACATTTTACATACACTCAAACTACATAGATATGGGTATAAAAAGAGTTCTCCTTGGGCTAGGCTACTATTTTGATATAGTGTATAGCTACACTAAAAAAAAAACACAAAAACGGTAATTCGTGCGTTGCCCTTTGGGCGCCATTGATGGTACTACAACAACAACAAAGGGTACACAGGGCATCATAATAATGAATGAATTCCTATACATATATACATACATACATAAATACTAAAAAAATAAAAATAATAAGAGAGAGAGAGAGAGAGAGAAAACCAACAACAGTCCCAAAGGCAATTTTCTCCACATGCAAACACACACACCCAAATAAACCGATGGCTATGGTTACATACATACACATACATAGTTGAAGCAGCTGTTGCTGTAGTTGTTGCTTCACCTTTCGTAGTTAATTTTGTTGTTGTTTTGGGTCTTGTTTTTATGATATGTGTGATGTAGGTTTTGATTTTTATGTAACACCTGCTGTTTTTCATCAACGCTTAGTGGTCGCACTTCTACATTCTATAATTATTACCTCTGCTCTCATTTTTGAGATCGCTTTAAATAATGTGCATTCTGGTTAAGCTGTCGAGTTTTGCGATCTACAGTTGTTGCTGTTTGGGAACTTTTGACTGCATTTCGCAGGCAGTCCTTGTTTGATAACTTCTTAACTAAAAATGAACCCTGTCTTCATATTTTCAGCACCGCATTCAACTTTATACTCCCAACCGGAGATTGCCAATCTACGAAAACGTAGCCTCTTAATGAAGTAAATAACTTAAAGCGCCTGAAACACTTAACGAATACAACAAAAGCAATAATTTCTAAAGAAAGAATAAGCCCGTATATACATATACCGACATTACAATATATTAAAAAATCTTAGCATTAGCTTTACAAATTTTAACCGAACACAAGCCTATAGATACGCCTTCCAATAGTATATATGTACTTATATTCTTAGGTATGTGTAAAAAGCCACTACACATGCATATATACATATATGAAGCGATAGAAGCCAGAAAGCAACAAATAGACATAAAACAAAATAAAACAACCTACGTGTTTGCAAATTTTTATCAATGCCTATAAATAAATAATACATGCATACTCATAGTTTTAAAAAAGTCAAAAGTGCATTAACTCTAACGGTGCAATCAAAGAACACTTAATTTATAAAGCAAATTTTGTAACTCCTATATAAGGATATGTATATTAATACATACGCATGTATTTCTAAAGCTTCTACATACAAAAACCACTTATAATTAAACCATATAGCGGCCTGCTTAAAACAAAAACTTAAATACTTCACGCATTAATCAACGCAATTACTTTAGAAAAATTACTTTAAAATTCTTATTAAACAAATAACTTTTTATCAAGTTGAACTTATGAAAAACGATAAGCCTACATTGTAAATTACAATCTAAAGCATATAAGTATTTCTTAGGTTAATTGATACGCATTAGCCAACAGAATAAACATTTTTAATGCGTCCCAAGTGCTTAACTACAAACACCCTCACACGCCCGCCCCAAGTGCAACAAATACAAGATCAAATTTAATATCGAAACTTGAACAATGTAAACACCAAAATAAGGAAACTTAACCTCAACAAACAAAACAGCGAATAGAGCAATATTAAATAAATAATACAAATCATAATATATTTAAATGTTTACTAAACTACTTACAAAATTTCAACAACGCACCAATGCCAGCAACCTGCCAAAATAAAAACGCCAACACCAGCAACTTATGCGGTAGATCAAAATTCCATCTTCGTTCTTAACTTAAAATCATTCAAAAAGCTCTTTGTATGGGTATGCGCAGCTGCAATTACAGTCGCAAACGCCACGAGAATTGTAAGGAATAGGCGTCCAGCTGGCTGCACCCATGTAGGAGATTGGAACGCGACATGGATATACATATGAAAAAACTTTCGAAACCACGGTAAGTCTTTATAATAATATTAAAGAAAGCAAGGAGTTTAAGATGTCACCTAGATTATTAGTGTTATTAGTTAGAAAAATTGGTTAAGTTAATTTCACCTAAGAGGGACAATTTCTTTCTAAGACTAAATAAAAAAGCAAACCATGTAGTCTTACCTGGCTACATGGACGAACTTTGATTAAAAAGCACATATAGACCAACAGACTGCGCCACATTTTGTTGGGCGAATCAGAAGCTTTCTTTGATCCACCCTAAAAATATTTGTCTATAAATTAATTTATAATCTAATCTATTAATTTGGATATATATAAATAAAATATATAAATATACTTATTAAAGTGAGATAAAAAATATAAATTTGAAAAACTTTCTTTCGTGCGTATTCTGTGGCCCACACGCTGATACTTATTAGCGTCTAACTATAAAGGATTGCAATGAATTCGCGCGCATAACCAAAGTTTGTGGTTTTCTTGGCGTTTGCTGCTCTGAAACCATTATTTTGCTCACCTTGAGCCGAGAAAAAAAACCAGAAAAGTTTTTGTATGTAGCTTGTCTCTCCCTTTAAGCGTCCGTTGCCGCCACGCACTGTTTCCCCATGTCTAACCCATTGTGCGTTTTTCGCTGCAATTTGTCGAAAAGTTTTGAGCAAAAGTTTAACCATAACAGATTTCTTATTAACGTGCATCTTTCTTCTCTTCTTTCTCGCCATTTCTGGAAGATCTGCCATTGTAATAATTTTTTGCTGACACAAACCTAAAAGAAGTCAAAAATGTGTACTAATGATTTTGGTTAAAGCTCATCCCATTTCATGGTTTTATTTCACTTGTCTCCTAAGCTGAGCTCTTGTCAGAAATTAAAATGTTTGCAATTCGTCGAATTGAAGCAACAAGCTCTCCAAGCTAACTTATGTCATGGATACAGCAAAGAGTTCTTGGTACCAAAAAATTGTTAATGTTTCTATAAATTAAAAATTTTAAAATTGTCCACTTTATCGGGTCTGTCAAAACGGAAAGCAATGAAAGCCCAGAACCCATAGAGCACCATCACCAATGCTCGCAATAAAACTTTCGCCTCCGTGCTGTATTTTCGCTCTCGCTTACTTCATTTACATACAAGTCATACAAAATGCCCACCACCTTCACCATAGCCTCAAATCGTTGCTGATTTATAGTCTGTGTGGGGCTTTGGAGGCTTTGCCTGCTTAGTTTCCACGAGTCCTTAGCCTCTGCACTTGTTTTCTCTCATTGGTTCTGTCTCTGTCTGTACCTTTGTAGCATTAAAGTGACATAATAAAACGTATAATTTTGTCATAAAAAATTATATACCCTGAGAGATTTTGCAACGAGTTACGTTCGGGCATCCATCCGGACCTATGCTTTTGATTGTTGACTATATGAGCTGCATATTAATTGGGCGAAGGTCAATAGTTTACGGGTGGTAAACAGAGTTGGAAAGTAATCACAGTTGCTTGAATAATGGAAATACTTCTAGTACCCCTCTCTGATGTCATCTCTTACTTATAGCCAAAAATATTAGATCTCACAATGCATTCGATCGAAAACAAACACAAGTATAAATGTGCTTTATTATAGCTTTATATCCTGTATCAGAAACATGGTATACTAGTTTAGTGCAAGCCCGAGAAAGAACAATTTTTTTGTTTTAGTGATCTATTAGTATTTTTCCATAACTCCCGTGATTCTGTGCTTATATGATTGTCCTCGTTCTAAATTTCATCATGATATTTCAAATGTAAAGGAAGTTATAGCTGTAAGTGCATCTCTTATAGTAAAATTTTTGTGCTGGCCCAACTGTGTTCTTCCCATTTTCTAATCGCGGCCCACACTAGTGCCACTTAAAGCCAACAGCATGAGCAACAAGAGAAGTAAGGACAGCAGGCCTTTTGTAAACTGGGGAATAGTCTGCTGCACCATAACGTTTGGGAAATAGCTTTTACGTAGCTTTTGTTTCCTTCTTGTCCTACTAGCTTTTTTTCTAAAGCAGAAAAAAGGTTGCACTCCTCTGTTAACATTGACCAGGAGACGTTGTCACCCCATTTAGTGTCCGTCCTACATGGCTGTTAAAAATAAACATCCTTTTTTATATTATTTGTAGTTGACTTTTTCTGTTGTTAATATTGACATCGCCAAGCAAAGACGGCAAATACTAAAACTATCCTGGCGACTGCAACAACTCTTTGAGGTTGTGTTTCGTATGTTTGTTTTTGCGATTAATGCACGGGTCTGTTCTTGTGATTTGCGCTTTTTAGCACTTCCTGTGTAAGTCGCCCAACACTGTGGTTTGGAAATGTAATGCTTTTTCGTCAATCGCCTTTTAATGAATTTATATTTGTTTGCTAAGAAAAATGAGTATTGGGAAACTCGCTTGGTCAACTCGCCACTCGGTTTTTGTGAAAAACTTTCGTATGTCTTTGATTGATTTATTTGTATTCCCTATAGGTTTATTTTTTGATTCAAAAATCTGCCACTGAGGCTCCAAAATGTTCACCAAATTTTTGATCTCTGAAGATGAACCATTTCGGTACAGAATATAAAAATAGGAAAAAGTGGTATCAATTCATAGATGATAGAAGTTCTTAAAGTTCTCAAGATATCAACCAATTATTCAAACTACTATAAGGGAGATCCATCAATTCAGGCCTTGTCGCTTTAACCACAATTAGGTGTTAATATGTTTTTGGCTAATTTTCATCAACACAATACAAAAAGCTAAAATAATAATTGTTCAACGTTGGTTGTAATATTTATGTAATGGTAACACATAGAATGTTTATGTGCACACAATATTTATTATTTATGTACCTATATAGTCATTTGTATGAGTAAGTGGGGTTTTTTTTACTTGTCGCACGCTGTTCGCTTCCCAACCCACTAATAGAAGAAATTCTACTGCTCTCTAACTTGCATAAACATCAATGTGTGTGCTTTGTATCTATGTGTTTTGGTGTTGTTGTTCTTGTTTTTGTACTGTTTATTTGTTTGCCTTACGATCGATAAAATGTGACGCAGTCGGTGTCGTAGTCGCTGTTGCTCATTGTTCGTTTCCTGCTGCTTGTGGGTATGTGTGTTATACATATACCTACATACACATTCATGCATGTGTTTATGTTTGTGGATTACAATGTAAGTTCTCGCTGCTGATATTTGAAAACACAAATTTAATGTGGGCCGACTTCTCCCACCCTACCTCTCAACGGGGTTCTCTGGCATAGTTTTTTATTTTATTACTTATCTGTTAGCTGCATTTTTTGTGTTTTTGTCATGTTTGTTTATTGTAGTTGTTTTTTGCAGTGGGGGTATTCCTTTGCTTCGTTTTGTATCATGTATGTTGTATGTAAATATGATGAATTTTTAAAATTGGTGATTTATTAACATCGATAAATTCTAAGAATAGTTATTAGCGAAACAATTTCCAGTATTACGCCCATAAACTGCAGGAAAGGGTTCGCTTTTCCTCTTTTTGTCTGCCCCTAGTATTTCAGTGGCGGGCTTGCTCGACTGTTGCATTTTCTCTTGTCTTAACATACATACAATTATATGCAAACATGTATCCATGAGAAACTAGAGTGAAACTTGGGTACCAAGTAGCCAAGCAGAATATTGTTGATTCGTCGGAAAACATTCGATTGAACAACTATCGCCCTGGACGACTTAAATTTTTTTATACACAAATTTTCTGAGAAAAGACTGATAAACTTTCCTATGTTTACTGTACTACTACATATTTTTCTCACTGCTTTATTTACGATGGTTTCCACTTCATTTGAATACTAAAACATTAATCACAATATCAATCTGTGAGGGGAGGAAATTGCAATGATGCATGGGTAAAGTAATAATTACGTATACGAAGGCTTCTAAAACCATATTTAGCTCACAAATCATACGCCAAGTTCGCAGAATTTCGTTATCGACAGCTTCTTAACTGCACTAATTATGTGTTAGTAAGATCATTTTTAATGCAATAATGATATTATTTATTTTGAGTCTACCTATGTATATATATATATATTTACGTACTATACGTTTGTATGTAAACATATTACGCGGTATTCCTAAATGTGTAGTTAATAAAATGCATTCAACAACATAGTTTCGCACAAAATCACTTTGTTTTTGTGCACTTGCTTGTTTGGTTTTATTTATTTTTAAATGCTTTCGCATGTTTTTGCAGTAAGCACATTTGTTTTAATGGCCTGCAACACAAAAATGCCATAAAAATAATTTTTTATAAGCTGTTTCAACAAAGGGAATGAATGCGGTGGTAATGCGTACGTATGTAAGTACAATAGTGATGCCGGTGGGGGGCTATGGATTTGCTTGCAAATGCTTCTTGCTAAACCCCTAGTTTACAATTGTAATTCCCTTTTAAGATTGTATTATATTATTATAATTCATGTATTATATGCCCTGGGTGTTTCGGGAAGTTGGAAGGTATATCCCAAAATGTGTCCTCGACTTTTGGAAAATGGAAATGGAAACCTAATGTAATGCCATGAAGAGTTTGCTGCACTTTAATTTGATATTGGTTAATTGCTTAATTTCATTTCAATTTTCATTGAATAAATTTTTATTTAAATTGAGTTGTTTAATCAATTGTGAGGCTTTCGTCAGTTTCCGCTGATTATTGCAGAGACAAGATTAAACGCAAAAACTTCGTCACTTAGTATGTGTGTTAATATGTATGAAGGTGGTTTACTGCTGTTTTTGGCGATGGTCTTTAAATAATGGCTACACACTACTACAATCTATAAGTACTAGAAAAAAAGAGAGCATTAATGAGATCAAAATGTGCCCTGACTATGATAACCATTTAAGTTGGCTGATAAGCCGAAGTAAATAAATCATTGTTGTTGTGGTTCGAGATGCTGTTGCAGCTGCTGCTACTCGTAGTTTTATGGTTTGCTCGCCATTTTACAACTCGCTTTTGATAACAATTTCTACGTTTAATTTGCATCTGATGTTCGGCTGCCTTGCTTA